ATCATTATTATAATCATTAATAATAATAATAATAATAATAATAATAATAATAATAATACAGGCGTTAAAACAGAAGCGAACAGTTACACAAAGGCACCAGGTAGCCGCCTGTTATTGAAGCTGCTGAAGAGACGTTAGCTGTTTCACGTAATTAGCTCATTTACAGACATAATTCAACATTTATTTTAATGTATATTTTCTCTTTGTGCTCGTGTTTCTGGACGAAAACAGCCCGCGAATTCCTTCGCTCGGCTTCAGTCAACAAAACGGGGGCGTCTTCTTCCGCCGACGTCGCTTCGCCGACAGAGTTCGTGGATAGTTTGCCATCAGAATGCTGATTTATTAGTTTTATGAGCAGCAGTGACTAAAGTGAATAGATTTGTGTTGGAAAAAGTGTTCAGATCTTTAAGTTAAAGTTGTGACTTTTATAAAAACTAAACTTTATGTGAAAGTACAGATGGTTGTCCCGGTTCAGGCTCTGTTATCTGGTAACATTAGCACCGTTATATATACATATGTATATATATGTGATAACCCACAAGCTAATCGTTAACTAACAGACTTTATTTACATAATTTAAACCAAATCTTTAGACTGGTTGCGTACTTCCACTCACTATTAGCTGCTAGCTCGCTGAGGAACAGATGTTTGCTGGTTATGATATAATATATAATATATGTATATGTTCTCTCTGTGTGAGAACAAATTGTTAAAACCAGTCGACTGAACGGTCTGCTGGCGTTTTAATGAGTTTATATGAGTTTTAATGCACAGCAGCGACTGAAGAGAAGTTTTTAGTGTTGGAAGAAGAATTCAGATGTTTAAGTTAAAGTAAACTTCTTTATTTATAAGTGTCAGTAATTATATAATTATCAGTAAACAGACTGACAGGAGGAACCTGCTCACATACAGCTGATAATGTTTGTGTATTTGTTCCATTATGAAGCTGCAGACGTGATCAAGGTGCAGCTAAGAACTGATAGCGGCTCCGATAAGGAGGTGAACTAACGGCATCCTGTCCCACGCAGGAGACCGGGTAAAGTCCCGCTCTGTGGACTGTGGACCCAAAGACCTGCTGAGCGTCTGATGGAGGACGGTTCACATCGTCGGCCCGGTGAGTTCCTGCTCCAATTACAACTTATTACTGTTTTTTATTCTCACTGACCTCGTTTGTTCAGTGGGAATCTAAAAATAAAAGCTTCTCCTCCGGCTCCACTTTTAGATTTCTATTTTTACTCCACAGACAAATTTTAATTTGGTTCTGTTTGTTCTGATGCTGTCAGATCTCAGACAGTCTGAATATTTAAAGAACATCTGCTGAGTTTGGAAACTTTATGGCTGCAGATGTTGTTACATAATGTCAGAGACTTCAATATTAATAATGTCATTAATTATAATTAATAATAATTAATAATGACTCATTAATTCACTGTTTAATCAGACTGAGCTGTCGTAAACGTTGGGGCTCAATATTCATTTTAATATTTTTATTAACTGAAATTAATCATTTTTCTGGCGTCAAAAACAAAACAAAATGAACTGGTGGCAAAAATTTATAATAAGTGCGTTTCAGACATTATATTTGAACAAACTCCTCGTAGAGAATTGATCAGATCAACTTCAGATTTGGTGAATGAGATCTAAAGACCAACCAAACTCCATTCAGAAAACAAACATTTTAAAAGTTGTTTCCTCGTCGTCTTTATTAACAGGTTAGGGTTGATTATCGGGTTAGAGTTGAGTCGGGTTTAAGGGTTTCAGGGTTTAAGAGTTTAAGGGGCAGTGATTGATTGTTTCTCTGTGTTTTGTCCTTTAGTACGTTTGTGTGGATCTCTGCTCTCCTGCTGCGAGACGTTTCTCATCACAGAGTGTCGATCTGCCGCCGCCATGACTCCTCCCGCCTCCACTCGACCCTCGCGGACGCTCTGGCTGCTGATCGTCACTGCGCTCCTGCTGATGATGATGTCACTTCAAGTGTCGGCTGTTGAACCGGAGGCGTGTTTTTCCAGACAACACCAGAGTGTCATCGTCAATGTCAGACTAGCCTTAAACAGACCCACGACAGCCATGGACTCCCGTGTGGTGCGGTCAGAGCGGGACTGTGTCCTCGCCTGCTGCTCAGAGGAAGTGAAGCCAGGTGAGAAAAATGGCGGCCGCCGTCTCCACTTCCTCCCACTGTACAGAAATACGTACGCTGCAATCTTTCTCCATTTGAAGCCACGGTGCCGCCCGTTGTCGAGGTACTGCCTGTACGCCGAGCAGAGCTCGGCTGTCAATCATGACGTGAAACCCCTTTTTTATATGTTCAAATACAAACATCCCTTAGTTATGCTGCTATAGGCCTAGACTATCGGGGGATTTCCCATGGTGCACTGAGCTCCTCTCTTCCTCTCTCTCTCTTTCTGCACTCATT